GGGGGGGGGGGGGGTGGAGTTTATTTGATACATTTGGTACATTTTGATACATTTGGCCTTTAATAATTTGATGATACTTTTTCTTTTTCTTACTTGTATTTAACTATCTTCTCTCTCTCTCTCTCACTATGTACATTCATTCTATCTTTAGTAGTTTTGCTCACTAGATTCTTTATCTTTATTTTTGTTTATTAGCTTCTTTAGTAGATAATAAGCCTTTGGTTTTCTTAACGCCACAGTTCTTTCCAAAGGTAGTTGTTGTGTGAACCAGGTGACTTGTCCCAACGATGGATGGCGTGACAACCTTCTTAAGGGAATGAGTTTGTTTTGTGTTTAGGTAATAATAGTAGTAGTAATGTACAAAATGACCTAATTAAGTCATGCTCGAAGAGTCAACTATGCTTCAATTGGCATCAACACACTTAACTACGTGCTTATGGTTAGAGACAAGGTTTTTAAAAGAAATAGCTCTAGTTAGTGACTTTGTGACTCTTGAGTTGACTTTGGTAATCATCAAGTGGTTTAATTGGACCATGGTGATCTTTAAACTTGAATGTGGTCATTGTAGGCTCTCGAATCTATACTCCTTTACAATCTAGTTGTGTGAGGAGTGAGATGAATTGTTGTTAGTACAAGTATCCGCGTGAAGGGTCTAGAACTTTTCCCGAATCTGTTTCAAGATGAAATCCTAAGCTTTGCTTGGTTTGAGAAGTGATTGTAGGCTCTCCTTGGCCCGTTTGTGTTTTCTATTTCCAACCAATATCTTTATCCCTAGTCAACCCCTTTGAGCCTCTAGTCTTTCTCATTTGATAACAATGTTATAAGTTTTTACCCGTTTTGTCGTGACCCTCTCTTGGCACCCGAACTTTCCTTAACACTATTGTGAAATAAATGCCTTAAAACATAATTTTGGGGGAGAGATGAGGAATTTGAAAAAGGTATCAGGGCACAAAAAGAGGAAAAAAATGATCTCTATGAAAGAGAAGGCGAGAAAAGAAAAGAACAAAAAGAAAAATGCAAAAAAATAAAAGTAAATAAGTGGAAGGGTTGAGGGATTCAAAAAGAGGTAATGATCCCAAGCATTGAGAAATCAAAAAGGGAGAAAAAGAATGAAATGAACAAGAAAGAGTGATGTTAAGTTTCTCTAGTCCCCAATGAAAAGAAAGTGCCTCTAAGAATTGGCAATTTGTGAGCCGAGAAATGAAAGTGTGGAGTGCTTAAGGAAAGGTGTAACCACTTACCCATATGGTATCCTATCCTAATCCAAAAGCCTTCATTACATCCCGAATAAGTCCTACTTGATTTCAAACCAAGTAATCTTACATTAGTGGCGATCTACATGAGGTGCAAGCCTACGGTACTTGAAGCCATACTTGTGACATTCTCTTGTGAGAGATGAGTGAGCATTTCATAAATCTTTGGATTAAGTGCTAATTTCTTAAATGAGGTTGGCAAATGGAAAGTAGAGCAGGAAGAGTTTGGAGTCCACCATGGCCTACATGATAGAACAAGAGTCCTTGATGAGTAAAGTCAATTCTTGAATCTTAAATGTCACATTAGAACTATATGTGCATGAATATTTGACTTGTCGCCTTGTTGATAGTACATGAGTAGTGTGGATAATTATTGGTCCCAACTAATCTGTGAATGGATCACCTTTGACTCGCTGAAATGACCCTTAACTTTAGGAGATGGGAACTAATTTATTTGCTTGAGGACAAGCAAAGACTTAACTTTGGGGGAGTTGATAAGTGGAGATTTTGACTACTTATTAACACCTTTTTGCTTTTATTTTAGTCGGAAAGTATTGATTTACATTCCGAAACTAATGAAATCGTGCAAATTGCAGGAATGTTAGAAGTTTGGTCTCCCATGATGAAATCTAACTCAAAAAAGAGTATTCCGAAGCACAAGGCATTAAAGGGCGCATAGGCAAAGAAGTGTGATCCGTAGAAGGATTTATGCGGCCGCAGAAGAAATTACAGACCGCGGAATTTCATTTGCGGCCGCAAACCAATCAACAAAACACAATAGGATTTTGACCAATGTGCAAACCGTAGATGAATTGTGCGGCCGCAGAACAGGGCTTTCACTCACAAAAATTCAAAGTTCAGAGAATATGCAAAAAGACCAAATCCTGACGCGATGCTGAAGTGCGGACCGCACAAGAATTGTGAGGCCGCAGAAGTTGCTTCGCAGCCGTAATCCAGAAATATGCAGCTGCAAAACCCACTCTCCTGCCAACTGAAGAAATCTACGCACCGCACATGGAATTGTGCGGCCGCAGAACCTCCCGAGAGGTATTTTGTCAGCGAATTTTGGGCCACTATAAATAGACGAGTTTCACAATTTTAGGTTAAGTTTGGAAGTTTAAAGCTACTGTAGCCGTTACCTTTTTCCATTTGAGGAAGCTTTCCAAGACTTGTGCCTTACACCCTTGATGTTATATCCTCAAGGAAGTATGCCAAAACTTGGGGCTATGGAGTGGTGCAAGTCTAAGGTGTTGTACTGTGTGTGACAAATTGATAACAAGTATTTTGTGCCTGTTATTTTCCACTTGACAGAGGGTTTGATTCGAATTTACAATAGCAATGTCAGTTTGTATGATGATGGTAAACTAGAAGAGCTGGTACAATCCCTCACACTCATGATGCCTAGGATTTTGATGAAAACTCGCTAGTGACTTAGTCCAAGATGTGCTTACGAAGAAATGATCCTGGGAGCGTATTATGGATGTACCATCATGTGACGACCCGATCGGTCATCTTGTGTATTGTAGTCTCGTTCCTATGTTTATTGATTATTCTATGTTTATTTGTGGCTACGTGACCTGCCAGGGTAGTTGGTTTGGTTCCGGGGATGTTTTGGAATAAATTGGGATACTTAGTCCCAAGGTTGGAAGCTTAGGTTGCAAGAGTTGACCGGATATTGACTTTAGTGTAAACGACTATGGAATGAAGTTTTGATGGTTTCAATAGCTTCATATGATGGGCGTATGTCCGGATTTGAATTTGGATATCCGTAAGTCGTTTTTGGCTTGAATTGGCAAAAGTTGGGAAGTTGAAGGTTTGGAAGGTTGAGAAGTTTGACCGAGAGTTGACTTTATTGATACCGGGCTCAAATTTAGTTTCGGAAGTTGTAATAGGTCCATTATGTCATTTATGACTTATGTGCAAATTTTGAGGTCAATCGGAGTTGGATCGATATGTTTCGACATTAGTTTTAAAAGTTGGAAGTTCAATAGTTCTGTAGGCTTGAATTGGAGCGCGATTCGTAATTTTGATGTTGTTTGATGTGATTTGACGCTTTGACTAAGTTCGTATCATTTTTAGGACTTGTTGGTATGTTTGGATGGGGTCCCCGGGGCCTCGGGTGTATTTCGGATCAAGTTCGAACTCACTTTGGACTTTGTTGCTGATATTTGTGCTTCTGGTTTCCTTTTTCGCGATCGCAAGAAGAGGGACGCAATCGCGTAGAGTCTTTTCTGATAACTGGGTGTCGATTTGATGTCAGAATTGGATAATTTTGATATGATTGGACTCCTAAGTGAATGAATGTTTGAATTTTGTGAATTTTGTCGGGTAAGCATTTGATGAGAAGATTGGACAGCCTAGTACACTTACAAGGAGCATAATAGAGTGTGATGGATATGCTAGCAAACGAAGGAGCAAAGAAGCAGATTTTTGAAAATTAAAAAACTTTGATAGTTCCTCCGGTGTTGCTAATGAAGCTTTTTGAGCAGACATTCTAGAAATTATGATTTAAAAGACAAACAATAATCTGTAACAGTTCTGTAATTTAGTAAAACTAATATACTACCCTGGAGCTCTAATGCTCACTCAGTTAGTTTTGTTCCTAGCAATTAGCTAGTATGTGTGTATATACAGTCAAACCTCTTTATAACAATATTGTTTGTTCCGAATATTTTTGAATGTTATAGCGAAATATTGTTATAGAGAACATATATTATAACATAACATAAAAATTAATTCCGAAAAAATTTGAATTTATAGTAAAATATTATTATATATGGATGTTATTATTGAGAGGTCAGACAATATGTATATGACTTTCTTCCTTCGTCATGTGTACATTATGACCATCAATGCCGGGTAAATTGAGATGTCTCAACTTAATGTCATAGGTTACAACCAATGAGTGATATCACGATAAGTACCTCCTTTAGGAATGATATAGAAAAGCCGCCATTTAAAAATGGAATAAACCATTATCCCGTAAAGGCATATATAATTTCTAGATAAACGTGATCTTCTTAGTTACTATGGTCCTCAAAAAATACTTAAGTTACACTAATATAACCTTCTTAATCCTTTTTACATATTCAATCTTTAGCACACATGACCTATAACTCCTCCTCTTGTATATTTGGTATTCATGGCCCGAAATCATGAGCCAACTTAGTCAATAAGCTTTAACATAGCATGTGTACTTGAAAATAAATATGATATTACTTTTGTACCACACTCCATGTGGGATAATATTTCTCGAAATAAAATAACAAAAAAAGATGCCCTTTTCCACAACTTTTCTCCAAAGTTAATCCCTTAAGAAAGAAATTTCAAAAATAAAAATAAAAATTTATCCAAATTTATTTAGTATAAAACCATGCACATATTTAATATTATATCTCGTACATCCCATATTCCCATATTTAACCCAATGACTCAAATATTACAATAAAAAAATATCCACTAAATAATTCCATGATCGAGATATTCCCAATTTGCCAAGAATATAAATTGAATTATAAAAGATTGGAGCGTCAAAGTGAAATTAGATCCAATTTTTAGGAAATCATATTACTATTATCCATTAGAATAATTTATGATTAACTTAGTTGGAATAAAAAAACTCACATTATAATCTCATCTTGTTCACAAACCGTACCACTCCTAGCATTTTTCTTTTGGTTTTAGGTAAAATATTTATTTTTTAAAAAAAGGCTAAAGGGGCAATTTTGTAATATTGGAGAGAAGAAATCCTTGCTTCATCTTCGTTTGCAAAGATAGATATTCCTCGCAGGCTGCCTCGCAACTTGTAAAACCCTTTGAAACGATCAAATTCTTAATCAAATTCTTAAGGTAAATTTCTCAGTGCTCAAAATCTCATAGCAGCTTTTAACTCATAGTACTACTTTCCAGGATCTCATCTGATTTCTTTAGAAATTTTTGGTCTTCCATTGATTGAATAATAGTAGAAAATCCCTCATGCTGAATGTTGTGCCCTCTAAGTTTAATTTTTTTGAATTTTATATCTGGGTATGATTTTATTTGTGAAAATTTTGCTGGTGATTTTCTCGTTAGTTGGTCCATTAATATTTTTTATTGTGACCTTTCTCAAAAAAAAAAAAAGTAGTCCCTTTTTTTTTGGGCTTTGACTTGATGGGAGCGGCACCCTTTGTACTGTACGGAGAGATGATGGATTTAGCCTATTTCGTTATATAGACTTAGCTAAGACAAAATACTAACTACTTAAGTTGGGATTGGAAATAGTTGCTATTGTTGTCATACTTATATTAAGTTTGTTGTTTTAAAGGACCCTTTATTTTTGTTAGAGACTTAGTGTCTTTTGTAATATTCGAAAATGTTGAGTTTGTCCCACATCAGTTGTGGGATGAGAATTTGGTCTCCTTGTATGGCCTTAAACAATCCTCCGCTTATCAGCTACCTTTGGAGTTGAGTTAGGCCCAAGGTTCATTTCTTATCATGTTACCAGTGCTAGGCCCACGCCCATCCGAAATCTTGGTTTACCCGATGTTGGGTCCCCATATTTTTATTATTCACGTACGGAGGAGAAGCCAGAACCCGCGGTAAGGTGGTGTGAGCGGTTGGCGTTGGCTGGTACGAGAAGAGGTAGAGGGCGGCCTAAGAAGTATTGGGAAGAGGTATCAGGCAGGACATGGCGTGGCTTCAGATTTCCGAGGACATGGCCCTTGATAGGAAGGTGTGGAGGTTGAGCATTAGGGTTGTAGGTTAGGAGGCAGTTGAGCATTTTTCTACATCGTTCCGGGTGAGAGACTAGTCAGAAAGGGTTTTGTCTTAGACTGCTAGTGGTTAATGTTGTGGTCATACTAGTCTTCCGTTTTTCATAGTACCGGGCCTTATCTACTTGTTATTGTTATTGTTTTTCATCTATTTTCTGGTCTTTATGTTGCTGTTATTATTTTTGTGATTTCTGTTGATGGTACTGATTTATTGTCTCTGTTTATCTTCTTTAACCGAGGGTCTTTTGGAAATAGCCTCCCTACTCCCGGGAGTAGGGGTAAAGTCTGTGTACTCACTACCCTCCCAAGACTCCACTTGTGGGATTACGCTGGGTTGTTGTTGTTGTTGTTGTTGTTGCTCCAGTTGGCTGGCCTTGGTGTGCGGAGGGTGTTGAGTTTGTCCCACATCAGTTGCAAGATGGGAATTTGATCTCTTTATATGGTGTAGAGCGGAATGGATACAAAAGATTCATATAGTGACCAAACTAATTCAGAATTAAGTGACCAAATTTGAGGCTTAGTTGATTGATAGATATTATACTATAGGCCTTCCATATGTACTTCCATTTCTCTGTTTTTTGTTGGCGTTCAAAAGATAACCCTCTACTAGTACCGGGGGAGTGGGGGGAATGACGTATGCCCGTGGTATCCCGATACATAGGAGTAACACAAGTTGATAACTTCAAATTACTGACTATCAGGTAAGCTAACTTGGGTTAGCTTATGAAAATATAGATTATGGTAACATTAGAAGAAGCATCTCATCTTGTTATATGTCTTTCTTCGTTTAGTTGAGATTGGGTTGGTGTTCAGTGTACACTAATTTGCATCATTTATTTACCCGATCAGTAATACAATCATCAAACATTTAAGTTCTGCAAGATGACACCATGATATCATCCGATCAAGGCTTGGGAACTTAGTGTGCTAGTCCGAAGTCAAAATAGAAAGAGTTGGAAACCACCAACTTAGTGTGCTAGTCAAAAGTCAAAATGGGGAAGTTAAAAGAGTTGGAAGACAACAACTTTCTGTGCTTGAAAATGCAGGAGTAAAAAGAGTTGGAAGCCAACAGTTATATTGTTTTTTTTTTTTGGGACTGATAGAAAACCTTCCAGTACGAGTTAACTTGACCAAAGCTAATATTGTTTCTCATTCCCTCTTGGTTAGTAAATCAGACGTAGTTGAACCTGAGCTTGTGTCACTCAGATGCAGTGCAGATCTTCCTTTATGCATGATGTTAGAGATTGATGCATCAAAAAGGCAGTATCAGAAGGTGGTTGCAGGATTTAAAGGGTCATTCAAGGGGTGGAGTAGAGCTTCTGTCTCAGAAACCTTGATGACTTGATTTCTTCTAGTTATTTGTATAGATAGAGTTTGAGGAGCACCTAAGGGTGTGGCTTAATGATCAATAAAGTATGTGCAAATCTTGGAGGCAAGGGTTAAAATATCAGCAGGGACAAAAACAATAGGTGTCCCGTCTACCTAAGTCTTGGTGAGCAGAGTAATCTGTTACCTGTGCTGGTAGAAAGTAGCAGGTACTCGATGGAATAGTCGAGGTACCCGAGCTCGGGCACCACCATTATCAAAAGACAAAAAACATAGGAAGCTTGAGGAAGATATGAAATTGGCAGTCAAAAAGAAATAATATGATATTATTTGAATGGTGTGTTAATTTGGTATTTATTGAGTTGTGCTGTTCAGTTCACTTTGGATTGCTTGGTGAAAACTTGGATGTATATTGATGTTTACTATCAATGCATTAATGTGCTTTAGTCTCCCGCAAACTTTGTTCAATAGATCCAGAAGTTCTTATTGCTAATACATTAAAATACAAATATGTAATCTGGAAAATATGTTCTCATGGAACTCCTTTTTACAAGATCGATTGAACAAGATGTCATGCAATACAAATTAGATTTTCTTTGTCTATGATAATTTCCATATTATCTGTATGTCACACAATTCACTTTTGCAACACTAGCAGATGAATGCTTTTCTATCTAAATTTCATTTGCCACAATTATTTTGTTTCCTCTCTCTCTGTAAATGCTGCTTATTTCTGTACCATGGAAGATCATATACACACTGTCATGACGTTCTGATATCAATTATTCTGCTCTGCTGACCATTTCTATCATTTTATCTTCCCGTTTTCTTGATTTAGAGTTAAGACATTCTTCTCCTATTTCAAGTACATCCATCGCACTATTGCTCTTACTCAAACTAATTGGTTTTCCTTAATTGAGCATGCATTCAAGTGCAAAATCTGAGTTGTATCCTGTGATTGAGATATCATTCTTCATTACTTTGTTTTGAAACTTTTAACAGTTATGGGAAAGGACTCCAAGGCTAAGGATTCTGGGGCCAAGGGAAAGGGTAAACAGGCTGCTGGTGGAAGTGAGGATGGTGCTTCAAAAGGAAAAGGAAAAGGCGGCAAAGGAGATGGCCTTGGAACCTGCACATATGTTAAAGGTATCTTCTTATATTTTAAGAAGGCCAATGGGTATCTTGTTGTGTTTAGGTGTTATTATTACATAAATTTTTGGCTTTGACCTTTCAGCAAGGCATATCTTATGTGAGAAGCAATCGAAGATTAATGAAGCTTACAAGAAACTACAGGAAGGCTGGTTGGACAGTGGAGATAAAGTTCCACCAGCTGAGTTTGCCAAGGTAGATTTAACAATCTCACCGTATGTATCTACGTCTGTTATTCACCGCGCTAATTCTGAAAGTGAAAATATACAAGGATGTGGAAGAAGGTTGTAGAGTCAGTATTTTGTCTAGGCATAACAGTCTAAATACAATTAATATATTGCCAAGAGAAGCAGTGAGCTCCTTTCTTTCTGCCCCGTAAAAATGTAGAACATTATTTCAAACAATTCTGTAGGCAAGAGTCTAACACCCAGTGATCCTTCTAAAGTTATTTTTCCTTTTTCTTTTATCTAGCTTGAGACTAAAGTTTAAGCGTCGTTGGTTGATTGATTGAATATAGGTTGCTGCAGCTTACTCAGAATGCCCCTCAGGAAAGAAAGGCGGGGATCTAGGATGGTTTCCACGTGGCAAGATGGCAGGCCCATTTCAGGAAGTTGCCTTCAATACCCCTGTTGGAGTTACCAGTGCACCTTTTAAATCAACGTGAGACTCCAGCTTTGTTTGTTTGTTTGTTTCTTTCTTTCTTTTTTTCTTTGTTAGGCAGATTGATTGTGACTCAAAAGTCAAACCAGCTGACTGTTTTTTATTGACTCCTTTCTTTCTTAAACTGCAGACATGGATACCATATCATTTTAAGTGAAGGGAGGAAAAATTGAGATGTCTGCGCATTCATGTACGAGCAGATGGAGGGGCCATTGGCAGAGAAACTCTTTTATTTGGTCATCTGATGCTGCAGTGACTATGTACTAGTTAAGATAATAAGACCAAACTGGTGTGGTTTACAAGTGTAATGCTAAACAAGTAGACATACCAAGATGATTGGATCAAAGTTTCTTACCGGCTCGTGTGTGTGTGTCAATATGGTTATTTTGAAGTCTATTATCTCATCTTCATTGAACTGACACATTATGAGAAAAAAGCGTTTGTAGCACTTGATCGATTAATCGCCTTACCCTGAGTAACTTGGTATTATCACCCCTCAAAGTAAAGGGTTGGGGATTTTATTCCGTGAAAATTGGATGTAAATGGTCGAAGATTAATGATTATACTTGAATAAATTGCTACAGTTGAGGTACCTTTTTGGTCTAATTAACTGAAAGTATTGACGATCCTTAATTGTCGAGTTGGGTAAATTTGTAAAATATCCAGAATTTTCATTCAAGGGGGGTAAAGTTCTCGAGAAACCGACAACCAGAACAGAAATAAGATTTTGCGTCTCGTATTTGGTACCAAAGTTTGTAAAACTCCACCGATGCCGTTTTACTCGAGAGAGATGCACAGATAGCCACTTTGAGGACTCCTTTTTGGACCCCTATTTAAGGCATAACCGAAGTTCATAAATTTTTGTAATATTTTAGCTGCTTAAAAATCAATTTCAGGCTCGATTTTTGTCCTATAATGGTGCAGAACTAAGAACTTGAAGATGCTATCAAGCAATTTATATACTTTTTCAAGTAGAAAGAATTGCAAAATATCATTCTGCGCACTCTTTGGATGTGCTAACAAGATTTTCGGTGAAAACAAAAAATGCAAACCTGAGACCAAGATTTGATCAACTCTTGGCCAGCTTTCATTTCTCCAGGGAGAAAAATGCAACTTGAAAGAAAACAACCTTTCTGACTCAACTTTACAGAAGTGAATACAGCTAACAGCCTACATTGTTATAATTCACCATTTTGGTCAAATAGCTTTAAACCCCAGCTCACATCCTCGCAGTGCCTCACATGAGAAACAATTTTACTCGTATCTGTTCCAGTTTTCTTTTTGCAATCATAGTAAGGTGGGGCATGGAAACACGGCTCCAATGATACAGCTCGAACACAAGGCGGATTATGGGCTGTCTTGTTCTCAGGCTTGTATAGGATCCAAGGCTTCAAACCTCCAAGACCATGAGCCACATATCCGAAAGTCGACCATGCACTTGTAACCAATTTATCAGTTAAACTCAGTAGATACATTTCTGCCAACGCCTTTCTATCATGCATAAGCTTCTCAGTTTGTTGATGTTTCTCCTGACTCGGCTGGTAAACGCCAACGATCTCTCCTGTCACAGTGGGATGCTCCCAGTACATGTTTCGGAACTCTTCAAAATATCCAGGGCTTAGAGAAGTTATCAGGACGGCTATCGTCTTCTGCTTCCCGGATGGGTTAACTATAGGCTCCCCCCGGTTAATTCGTGGCAGCAGATTCTCCTTCGTTGTACAAGCGAAGATCTGATCCAGAAAATACTTAAAAGGACCAACACCTGTATCAAAGACTCTAATTTGAATTCCTAGTTTTTCATCTGCTTGGGCTAAATAAGCTTGATAATACCTCATAACAAGCCCCCATACAGAATTTGTGGGATGGAAAAGGTATCTACTCAGAAAGTGGAATATGGTTTCTTTTTCCGGAAAAAGATTATTTAACTCTCGCTCGAATGATGGGATCAAGAAAAGAAAAGGCACAAAATAATTATCGGTCCTCATGACTAGCCAAGGGATTTTCTGGATAAAACTTTGATCCTCGTCACAGAAAAATAATTTATCTTGATCATCATAATCATGAGCTAAATGAAGGTAGATGAAGGGAGGCACTATTGAGCCAGATGAATTGCCGACGATATCATTCTTCACCATATAACCATAGCAATGAGGAGATTTCTGATCAAAGGTGCTAAACTTACTGATTATAGGGAAATCTGGAGGAAGTAACCAAGAAACGTCCGGAAATGGTTCACAGAAGAGATCAGGCATATTAACTCCAGGATCAACAAGTAGGACTCGATTTGTAAGCAGAGCATATAGGAAAGCAGAAGCTAAGGTTAGTATCCTATTTCCTAAACCACTATAGGATATCCAAACTAAGTAATTACAATCTGCAGAACCTCTGTATTGACCAGATTTGATAAGCTCGACACTTCTGTTGTATAATTCTGTATGAGGTCCACATCGCTTATGGAGAGCCTCATAGTTCCGTAACCTTGAGATGAGGTAAGAAGAAGGCCTCTGGCGCAGTTCTTTATGATATAAGACTGACCCATGTCTACTCAGACAAGATCTTTCATCAAATCCAGAAGGAAGAAGGCCACCGAGCAGTTTATGTTTCTGCACCGTGACTGGCCGATGACTACCATCTTCTGAAACTGTGGCTGAAAAAAACAAAAAAGAAATTAAACAAGAAAAGAAACTTATTACATATTTTAAGGAAGCCACGCTCCAAAAGGCACAAAACATCTATCATCTTATCAGTAACACAGTCACGATCACAACCATTTTCTAGCTATTATATCCACAATCAAACTATAAGAGCAAGCATACAAGCAAAACATTATATAAACAAAGCAGAGAGAGAGAGAGAGAGAGAGAGAGAGAGAGAGAGAGAATACCTACCATACTATGCAAGAATGCAACAAATGATTGGTCAATTTTTAAGCAGCATGATGTGATAATGCCCCATACAAGAAAAATTTAAATGACTGAAACTGATTATTCTGCCGCCAACCTTGGTTCTCAGCTTTAGCTTTATTCTACCGATTAAATCTTCAAAAGAATTGGGGCCTTTTAACTTTCCTCACACTATTAAGAGTGTGTACATGTGAAGCCAGATATGCTAGGCTAATCCAAACTAACAAACGAGAATAAATAAGCACAAAGTCAAATCTAAGATCCTGGGCTCACCTAATTGCTGTATTTTGTTTCAATCTACAGAAGGCACTCGAAGCCATTTACACCCCAACCTAACATCGTAGCGGAAAAAGAGAATGTACTCAGTCTTTCTCTTGTTATTGAAACTGGATTCACTAGTGGAACAGCAAATGAATCAGCTCTGAGCCAAACAACAATAGTGCAATTTGCAACTATACTAAGATGCAACTGTAGCACAGAAGGATATAAAAATCAAAAGCACATATAGAGGCTGCAGATCTTTGTACTACTAATACCAATCCTACAAAGGTTCAGCTCTGTTGATAATCTGCTTCATGGACTTATGTGAATTTCTTTCTTAATTTCATTCACGCTTTTCAGACCAACAAATTATTAGTGCTAACGAACAATTCCGACTGAAGTTATTTGGGGTGCAAAGCACTTTATACACTAATATGTGGTTCTCAAACCAAAATCTTTTACTCCATTACTGCCAGTAGTAAACCCAAACAACACTTCACCGGAGTACATCGTAATGCTTGTGCAGTCCAGGATTTTAAATCAGTTGGTGTAGTCAGACATTGATTCAAATAGTGTCATCTGACACTGCAACACCAAGACATTTTATTACTGTATATGTTACTCCTATATTTTACACAATATTCTAAAAATTATATACTTACACACCACATTAATGCAGAGTAAACCTTACTAAAAAGTCGTATAAAAAAGCTAAAGAATGGGGAAATGGAAGTACCATTTGGAGGTATAACATCAAAGAGTCTAGCTTCAGCCAAAATCCTGAGGCTGCTATCAGAAGGCAAGTCCCCGAGTAAAACAGAGGCCGAGAATATAACCGTCAAAACCATCAAACAAATAAAGACAAATCCCATAAATTTCATGGGATTCAAACCCCATCTCGCCTCTGAAACCATATTAGAAATAGGGTTATTCTCCCGATCTAATGACACTGACTCATGTGCCTCATCACTGAAGCTTTTCTTCAACCTCTTCATTTATTAATCAGAGACGGTGGATAATTATAAATTTAGAATGAATTTCTTTTCTCCAAAAAAAAAAAAAAGAAGGGTGGAGTAATTAAGGAAACTGGGAATTGTGAACACTAGGTGGATGTAACCAAAAATCCACCACTTTAATTTCGGTTTATATGCACATGCAAAAAAAAAAAACTTATACTACTCATATATACTCTTATATATATATATAGAGAGAGTGTGCGTGTGTGTGTGTGTATTAACTTTGATTGAATTGAATGAGCGTAAATCATGGGAATTCGCAATTAGAGAGAGGAACCGAACGTAAGTGGAGAGTGAAGAAACGGTTGGAAACTTGGAGGAGTGCGTATGGGAGTTTGTTGCCGCGCCTGCGCAACGGTGGGACCTTGTTTTCTTTTGACTGGTTGCGTCATTCAATATTGAGCAAAAAATAGTACAACAATAACAACTAGAGTATACATGGACCTTACTTCAAACCCGGTGGGCAACCGAAAAAATATATAAATTTTATATATTTTTGTATATATATACATTATGTATATTATATATAAAAATTATACAGATTTTACACACTTTTTTGACTATCATATGTAAATAATTTCTGACGCGGGCTAAAAGTGATAATGCACTCTCTTTTTTCACAAATGAATACTTACATCATCAATGCAGTGTAACTCGTCCACAAAAATTATTAGTAGTACTTTATTTTTATAAGACATTAGTGTTAGAACCAGTGGCGAAACCAATAAATTCAATAAGGAGTTTAGTTTTTAAAAAGTAATATTTTACCTTATACATAGTATAATTATTGGGCGAAGGGTATTCAGTTGACCGCCCTTGGGCCAACATATCTTCTCCCCCGGTTAGAACTCGCGTGATGCGTTTGACAGAATATTAATATTTTTACAATTATGATCTAATATATCATATTATTTTTAATAAATATTATTTATTATTTTATTATTCAATGTAGTGTGTAGAAATATAACAAAATCTATACAAAATCAAAGAATGCACATTATATAGTAATCAAATAAATTATTTATTCTTTATTTATTTTTTATTAAATTAGCAAGTACTTAACACTATACATTTACTTATGTGACTTTTTGTCAATTGATTTAATATTTTGATACTACTTCTCTTTTAATATAACATAGATATATATTTTCTTGCTCTAAAAATATTTATCTTTTTTAAACTTATGTTATACTGTTCAAAATTCTTCAATTGTCTAAATTTATCAATAATTATTTTGAGTGATATTTATTTATCTTTTTAGTTTTTAATTAATTCAAAATATAAATATCATAAAATCATCGTTATCCCCTTCTTTTCATACTTTTTTATTGTAATATTTGATTAGTTTTCCCATTTTGTAGTTTACTAAAAATTTAAATAATTTAATATTTTTTTTACTAAATTATAATTTTGAATTTATCAAAAGTATAAAGACATAAGCCTTTTTTATTTTTTTTAAAATTACTAATATTTTTAATAATTATTAATTTATATTATATATATAATATGCTTATCTTATGTATAATATCCTAATAGTATCTTTATATTTTTGTACTTTCATTATGAAATTATGAATTCTATTTCGTAACTAAAATTTCCAATATGATTAGTATATACGTTTTTACGCTATCGCTTGATTTTTTTTTTAGTATTCTTCCTTTATAACTATTTATTTATTATGATTTTAGTTATATGTATATGTACGACTTTTCTTATCATAATTCTAATTATAAGTCTTATATTTTTATATTTTCTCACAAATTTATATGTTATTTCTTTTTTTGTTCCTTGCTTATCTAACTGTATTATCCATTACTTAATATTATTAAATTGTCATATGAATTTTAAATAAATTATCAGTTTAATATAATACAATGAATATAATTTTGTATTAGTCTTGAATTTAACTTGACTTTATGCTGTATGACTTTTTTATAATTATTTCTATATTTAAATTTATCAATAATATTTTCGAGTATTATTTATTTACTTAATTTTATCAAATAAATTTAAAGTGTGGATAGAATCACATTATATCTATTCTCCTCTTTATACATTATTTTTTGTTCTACAATATTTTAACTTTTTTATTTAGTGTTTATCTATTTTACGAATTTTATTGTATTATTTTTCTAAATGGATGGTTTTGAATTAGTTCAAAGTTTAAACGAAGAAGTTCTTTTATTATATGTCATAAATCTACTAATAATTATAATAGTTATTATTTTTGTATTATTTTCAATAAGAAATTAATTTGAATTCTTCTTCCCATTTGTATTTAATATGAAAGTTTAATTTTTTTTAATTAAGATTACTACATAAGAAGTTAAATTATATCTTTATATATTTTATTTATTTCTGGAAATTATTATTTATGTTTTTGTCTTTAATTTTATCTATTATAATATTTTTAGTTACATGATCTTATCCATATAGCATGACCATATGAATTATTACTCAAAAACATTCTCATTTCACAAAGCAAATTAGTCGTATCATTTTATATATCTCTATATTGAAGTTATATATATAGTAGTTTTCTTAAAAATATATAGATATTTAATTATATTTAATTCAAATTCAAAAGGAGTAACTAATTATTAACTAACCTAACTAATTTTGTCCTAAAATTTGACACTTGTTGAATTTTTAATGTGACATTTTGGCATCATCACATTGATTTGCTTCTCCTATTCTATATAGATAGAATAGATAGATTTGTATAAAATATATTCTAGGAAGTGTGCACATAAGAGAAGGTCACTTTTAGGGTTGAACTCCATAACGGTTGTAATCATCGCAACTACCGAAAGTCTATGCTTGAGTTATGTACCGTGAACGAAGATTAGTGTAATTTCTGTGTTAAAATGCAGTTTTGAAGCAAGAGAGAGGTCTGACTAATAGGCTGGTTTAGAGTTTAAACTTTATGTTAGCTGACAGACAGTGCGATCATATTCAGTTCCTCTGTGGTCTGTGCTGCCTTTTGGTAAACTTCCTGTTTGGGTGAGAGACTAAAGAAAGATCATTTGGGATGGAAATTTTCATCATTTTTCAGTCCTCAAAGTAGCTCTATTTGCATGCAGATTCCAAGTAGCAAGAAATCAATAATATTGCAACATAGATTTTAGTTAGTAAAATGAAATCCATACTCAGACGGCTGTTCTGGTACATTTATTCTGTACCATATCATTAATGGAGAACATCACAATGCAATAGTTATTGTTTCCAGACCATCCACTGAACTTTCTCTTGTATATGAAACAAGTGTCCAATTTTTGACAAATACTTTGGGTTTTATTCTTCTCTGTCGATTGTACGATTCCTTGCGAAAACCTTAAAATTGCTTCTCCAAGGAAGCTACTATCATATTGTTTCCCCAGTTCAGCATGCTCAGTTACAACGTTAACGTGGGTAACATCCAAGCCGAATATGGAATTGTATCCTTTTGCAATCCTCTTGTCTTATGCATTTAACCAATGTGACGCCACGTCCAAATTCACCAAAACCTTTCAAGAGAAATTCATAAGGATATCTCTGCAAACTCCGGCAATGGAGTATTGCCTGGAACACTCCACCTGTGATTTATTTATCGATAGAAATAAGCTTTTGATACAAAAGGAACAACAAAATTTCATCAATAGTACAACCAAAACTAAATATCGCTAAGACAGATGAGCTCATAATTCGACTGCTTAACTTTGCAACTACAATTGATATTCGTTGCCATCTAAATTACAAAGAGTAGAGTACATGCAGAACAGAAATTGTTGGAAGAATCACCATGAAAAAGGGCTCGCTCCCAACAAGAAAATTTCATTTTCTACATCCTTCATCCACTGACATACCCTATTGCAAGTTTTAATTGCAAGAGCCTGCAAGGTGAAATTTACCAAAGGTCATACATAAAGAGAGGGACTGACAGAGTATAACAAATGTTCTATTTTCATCTCCCAATAGAATTAGCATTAAAAAAACATATGTATTGGTGAAATAGCACATATAATAAGCACAATGAAGTAGCTTAAACTAACATTAAGTACTTTGGATTGATGAAATATCAATCTACTATTCCTCAATCACTAATTAGTTGGGATCAACTATATGAATCCTCTATACCCACTCTACTCCGACCAGGCTTGTGTCATATCAATACTAAACAATTTAAAAGAAAAATTAGTAGTTCTTTAAAGCTTAGAGTTCCTCAAAATCTCACACTTAGCCCTACGTTGACATATACATCTCGAACAAGACTAAAGTACTTTTGCAAACACTAGAACCTAATGAAATATAACAACTAAACCGTGATCCTGATGCCAAGTGGCCATTTTAAATTTAATTAAAAAAAAGAAGAAGAAGATGTCAACAGTATCAGGGCATGGCAGGACTAGAACGTTCAGGAAATAACAGTTCTAAGGCTCGCTCGGTGTAGATTTTTAACGGAATAGCAGCAAATAACTTGTAAGACTGCATTTAATTCTACCAGGCTAGGAAGAAAAGCTTGCAGTATACAGAATGGAACTTGTATGTTCTCATATATGCAGTAATTTCTATGTATTCTCAGAGGACGATGAAAGTCAGTACTGTTTGATTACAGTTGAGAACCAAACTAAACTAACACCACGTTAAGTCAACCTAGGTCTGCATGTTTAAAGAGCTGAAATTCAAGAACCAAACTGGCCGATCAGCCCATGTACCAGCAGCTTTTTCCCAAGTCTCAACCAAGACAAAATGTCCTCTGGCACGTATAACACCAAAAGAATTGACTGGCAAAGAGAGTTTGGAGAAGAAGTGCTGTTCCAGATATAATTAGACGAACAATAGGCTCAGAAGAAACTTAAATAATCATACCTTGTCTGCCAGAGGATCAAATACAGCATAAAGTTCGAAATCCGGGGTAACCCAGCACAAGAGAACTGCAACATACGGTAAGGATATGTTATTTCATAAAGAAACTACAATATAAACATAGGAAATCATATGGGTCTGATCTATCCCCATCCTCCCCACTTTAAAACTGGAATTCATTCTCGAATTTGGTAAAATTTAAACCCAAAAAGAAAAAGGGGGAAGAAGAAATTACCGAGAAAGAAGGCAAGTTAACAACATTGGACTTGATCACAATGAACAATTTCTGAGACTGAGAGAACTATAAGCCAAAGGAAGATGAACAAAGGTTTTAATTCACTAATACGTCTATATGCACTTAGCTCTCAGAATCAGTTCCAAAGTTGGCAAATTCGAATGAAGTGCTTGTGGTTTTCAATTGGTGGGTGAGCCTTACAAAGAATTGGACTTTCATGCAATTATGACTATCACCAGGATATAAGGTTTTTCTTCTTGCTCATGGTTTAACAGAAGAGAATGGCAGATGAGATGAGTTATGAACCAAAAGAAGAATATGTTATTTGGCACTTTATCCCGTGAGTTTTATCCACAGAAAACATCTCTTTTCTACCTGTAAGATTCCATAAGAAAATAACCTGTTTCTACCAATAAAACAGCAGTGCTATGTTGAAGGAGTGCATACCCACAAAATTCTCTAACAGCAAAAATTATCTAGAAGGAAAAGAAAATGTATCATGTCTCCACTATTTAACCAATGCTTTCTTTTGTTATAAACATACTCCATCAGATAGAGAAAATCTTGAGAGAGATATGATGGTATGTCATGCTCATATAGCATCATGCTGGCAAGCGTGGGATTATGCTTCACGAGCTACACCAATTGCAGGAAAAAGCTGCCAAAAAAAAAAAACATACCACAATTATCATCCCTTTTAAACTGAGTTTTGTGAGGCCCAATTCCTTCTTCATGCATCGATGAATAGATCTTCTGGTAAGATCTATATAACCTGCACCAGATAGGCTCATCTCACTAAGAGAAAAAGGAGAAAAAAATTGATTGTTGTGGGAGAAACTTCATTTAGTATTAATACCTTTTTTGCTGTCGTCTGCTGTTTATTGGTGAGGAAAACTCTGATGAGACGTACTGGTCAAGATAAATACTTCGATATATAAAATGCCAAAGTCCAGCAGGGCCACCAACACCTAGGAATGCTTCGTCGAATCTCTCTGATGAATCCATTGCATGTCCATGCTGACCCAAATGAGGGGAGACTGCTCCAGAACGGGAACAACGGTCATCAGGTAAATCTTCAATGCGCATGCCACCATCTACCATGGATCTTTGAACTTCACCGAGCACATTGGACTTCAAAAGTACATTTTCAACACGAATCCTACAAGTTACATTATTATTTTTTCCTTAACATAACAGTTGTTCATTCGCAATAGCTAGGACCCCTGAAAGGATTAAGAAAAAGAACACTGGGAAATGTACTGGTTCATTTCCCAAGGTTCAAATATCAACAACAACAACAACGACCCAGTGTAATCCCTCCCAAGGTTCAAATATCATGGAAATTTTTTTTATGTTTGAGCCATGAGTTATTTCAAACATCAGTTTACTTGAAAATCAATAATCTACCTGCAATCTTTAAGATGATAAAAGGCATCTGAACTTGTAGTCAGCAATATTAAGTATGTGTCACCCTGTCAAATAAAGCAAGCAAATAGAGTCATTTGTTTAGACTAAAATGCTAAATGATATTCGTGAACCATATCATGAAAATTGAAGAATTCTTGCAGGGCAACCAACTAACACTATCCAAAGCCAGATTTACTTTGATGTTTTTTATTAAATGGTTGTCTTATATATAATGGAAACAGAGTGTAAGAGTAAAACCATAGTTTGTATAAACATTTAAAGAACGTGGTCCCATAGCTACAAATAACAACACTTCTTTTTATACGTAGACATTTTATAAAATAACTTGTGTAACTTTGTAGTGGCATAATATTAAAAAAGTAAAGAATAGCGAAAAGGAGGTTTCCCTTTAACCAAAGTGCAAAAGAATTTAGGACAAAGGGTGTAACGAGAGTGGTTTTTGATATCAGTTGATGAAGTTAGCTCAACTTACATCAAGGTAATGCACATAAGCATATAAAAATGCCATGGGATTGAATCTTGGTAGACAAATAGGTGAGAAGGATTCTGATGTCCTGCATGACGCCAATGAACATGTTAGAGTAGCCTCCAGGCAATCCCAAATAGTAAATGTCGAGAAACACAAATCTTTTATATGGTGCTGGCACGTTGCCTCACAAATGTGGAGATATGAAAATGCACTCAGACAGTTAAGTTCACACTGAAAAAATCCCCCTTCCCTCAATCAAAAAGAATGATACAAACATTACGAACACCAACCACACGGAATAGAAGAAAAACAATAATATACAGTACCATGAAACCAAACAATTTCCAGCTAAAGCCGACAGATCGGCTTCATGCTGGCTTGGGACAGTACACAAATGTCCTGTAGAGAACAAGCTTTAGGCAGTTGAGTAATTACAACCAGATTAGTGGTTCATACACTTAAACAACCTGAAATTTCCAGAACTGCCTCAAAACACATGGTTACCGGATAAATCTTGTGGCATCATAAGAAAAAGGAAGATATTCTTGAAGAAAAACTTGACTTAAACGCATGATAATCCAAGTGAAAGAATTTGGGATATTATGAAATGTGACAATTAACAGAAATTACCTAGATACATGACTAAAAGATGGACGGTGTAATCAGTCAAATGGACCAACAGTGGGTTTCATAAAGAATAACATGCTTAGACACACAATCCCTAAGATAAAGAGGGAAGAAACATGTTATCACAGAAGGGCCATGCCTGCCTTCACAACAAAGTACAAACAGCTCTTAGCTACTTTGCCCGACTATAGACTGGAAAAGAAGTCACAGAACGAGATCTGATTTACTACAGGGCTTTAGCACCTATCACCAACCTAATAAGGTTGAACTGAAGAATAAATGTAATATGAGCTTGTCAATCGTCTCCTGCATTCGCACCAGATACACAAGGAAATAGACCAACAAAAGTCAAAACGCTAATGGAACTTGCCTAAATGATTCAGAAGACATAACAAAATTGGATAGCAATAGCATATCATCAGGGTGAAGAGAGGCTTTTTGGGCACCAACGAGACTGATAACCTGCATATCACCCGATTCAGGATGGTTTCACCAAAAATTAAGACATAATGAGACTGTTGTACTTCTAGTATGTGCGAGCAAGAAATAGAAGTAATTATGAAATAGGATCAAGACCTTGTGTTTACACATTAATATAGCAAACAAGACGCCTGAATCAGCTACATCCTGCAAGATAGCCCCAGCAGATTGCCTTGTTGCATAAGCAAGTGGTAGGCATGTGTATGCATGGAGAAAAGTGGCTGGATTCCTTGAATACAAGTAAATTTTGATTAATTAATCAACTGAGAAATTCAAGACAATGATCGTTTAGGCTATACTTGGTATTATAGCAGATATAAGAATATTTTTCTGCTCACATCCAAATTAACAGCAAGTTGTTCTTTATATATGTATCAAAAAGGTATTTCTTACAGCATAATACAAAATTGAGGCAAAACCCTCCCATGGCATCTACTTCCTTTATAATGAACAATAGTTCCAAACGCACCTCATAATTAAGTTATAACATCTTGAAAGAAATCAGAGAGGAGAAAAAACGGCTATCAGCAAAATATACAACACCAACAACATACCCAGTGATTTCCCACAAGTGGGGATCAGCAAAATATGAAAAAAGAAAATATTTCCAATTTGTTGTCATTGCTGGTATAAGTCCGCCCCACTTGTGGGATTTCACTGGGTTTGTTGTTGTGGTTGTTGCTGGTATAAGTCCGAAAATAGACACAGACAACAAAAACAAGGAAAAGCAGGATGAATCAACTGACAGAACTTAATACACTGCAGTACTCCTAACAATTTAAGATTATTATATGGTGAACTGAATTGACACCTAAATTATTTGCAAATATTTTTTGATTGGTACATTATTCCCAAATAATGCTACGCCACAAAAGGCAACATTGGTTATGAAGCTGAAGCAACAGTGCTTCCATTCCTTAACTAAAAGAATTAAGATGACAAAAGTTCAAATCCTTGCACCAGAAAACCACAATTGGTTAACTCCGGAGCCTTCAGGAGATGGAATATTACTTTTGCTATATATGTTAGGCATTCCTAGTCCTTTCCCTTTTATAGGTACGTTCATCTTTTTCTTCTCCCCAGCTTTTCACATAAGCTATACGCTTAAATTTATAGCATTGCCAAATACGACTAGTTCGCATTAATCTTAAAAAGTGGAGTAGACTGAAAACTAAGTTCTTTGCTTTTTCATTATCTCAGGTTTTGTTTCGGTTTTAAGTTACGCGGAATATCTTGTCCACTATTTTGTCCTTGTCCCCACGTCTATAAATGAATTTGCTTTACAACTAAACAATAAAATAAAACAAACTTATAGGAAAAAGAAAAAAGTGACAAATTGCAGAGTCCTTTAAAGCTTTAACCAGACAGGAAGTCACAGAACCCTTGAGATTTAACAGCTGGTCCAAACATCTTACTCCATAAAACACATACAGTGCTAATATGGAATAAAAAGTGAAATACATGATGATGAAGCAAAGAGAGAGAGAAAGCTACAAACCAACTGAAAGAATGGATCAGAGAAGAGAAGACGACATCTGTTCCTCCAAGCAGAGGTGTCATATCAAACTTTGCATTCTTCTCAAAACATCTATTTACAGACCTTGTAAGGATAAGTATCATCTGCATATAGAGCAACATATACATGAGGTATTGAAACCATCTGAAAGAAGAAACGGTAAGCAATTAATATGCGAAGGATAGAACCCAAAAAAAAAACAGCTCAGTATCTCTAGTGCTACAAAAAGGATAGAACTACAGTCACCAATTTAGAAGGGAAAAGAGGGAGGAGAGGGGGCAGACAGAGCTTACCTGATTATATAGGAGCTCTAGTTGCCCCCTTAGTGACATGTAAGGCTCTTCTGTACAGCTTATGCAAACCAAGTAAATAGGTCCCTTCACAAGAAATACTACCTGAAAAACAAATCTACAATGTCTGTTAAGAAAGGAAAGTCGAATCAGGGCAGTACTGTACTAAAGTGTTATGTTTTCTTTCCGAATTACAGAAGCTAGGCTATAGTTCCGTTCATCGCATTACAAACTATATCTCAGTCACTACCACCCTTGCAAACCAGAAAAGTAATTTACTACCTTTCATTTACTTCATGTTTTCCTTAGTGTCTATTTTCCACAATCAATTACATTTAACCATCCTATCAAAAATAACGCACATGAACCGAAAATAAATAGGAATCTAGTGCTTTCAGTCTTTCACTAAGTTATTAAGCCACGGCTTCTAAATGTCCAAGCAGTAAAGGGACTAAAAAGAAGTGAGGTGTTATTGATGCAAACCTGGTGCTTTCCAGCTCTGATCAGGTTGACTCGATCACCCCTGAAAAAGTGATTAATCAGGCAAACTGCAAAAAATCAGTATACTCTTCACTGAAAGAATGGAGGAATCCTGTATTTAGCATTCATCGGAAATATACCCATTCTCCACAAATGATATGATGGCTTGCAAAGTGGCAGAGAATCCAGCGAGCTTGTGTTCATCTCCATATCTTCAATCAATAATAAAAGAAAATTCAGAGGACATTATATTTGATGTGCAATATCTGATAAGCAAATACTAAATGGCATTCTGCGGTCAGAAGATGGATGCTAACACAAACCTTGAGTATATTGGTTTTCCTGAGTGACTCAAAATAAAGAAGTGTTTCTTTCTTTTTCTCCAGGAAATGGAAGCATCATCCTGCACTTCATTAATGAAAGAATCATAAGTTGACAAGGCATAATTTGAAGGCCGACACATTTGCTTTCCCTTTAATCTTACCTTTTTTCTTTTTCATAAAGCAAGAAATTTTATTGACATAAAAGGGAAAATCCCGCATCCAAGGGGTCTTCAAGAAGTAGAGCATCTCGGGCAACAAAATCATTTTCTCTNCTTCGACCTTTCGTTTTTATCATAACTATCACTTGAATTGTAGGACTATAATTATTGTACTTAAATCAAAATGCTGCAGTTTATTTCATGTTTCCCTTGGAAAATGATAGGTTTAGCACTTAGCATTATTCAAAAGGCCACTCTCCTTTGATACAAGCCAAGCCTTACAATAAAAAACGCAGTTTTATAAGGACCTATCATGTTACAACCCAGAATTTGGAGTTGTAATTTCGGCCAAGAACTGGCGAAAAAGGTCCTTCTGATGGTCTGACATAGAGCAGTCTACTCGGGCAACTTGGGCTTTTTAATTTTAAGCATATATAAGGGGGGTATAGGTGATGAAAGCTCCGACCTGCCTCCCCCATACGCGCTGCCACCGAGCCGTATAGAACGAGCTGCCTTGGGGGCGAACCCCAAGGGCCTGCCTAGATGACTCAAGGGAGTGTCAAAGGTATCCATGCGAGTTTGGGAACTCGTATGGGCTGCGCAACGCCTTAGAGCCTGCGTTGGGCATCAATCGGGCAGTAGAGGCTGCGGGCTGCCGAGTGTTGGAAAGAGACCTCCACGCCGATTGGATACTTGACGCACCTGTCATAGGGGCATCATGTGTCGACTTGTGAGCATGGCTTTGGTTCAGCCATGCAAGCAAGGGTCCGTTGGCCTAAAGGTGCAGGTGTTGGCGACACTGCACTACTTCGGATGGAAGCGTGCTGCAATAGGGCTATGTATGGGCATGGCACGAAAGAGGCGCATGACAATGGCCAAGGACTAAAGGTATTTTCACAGTATAGATGTAGGCCTTCAACATGCCTTTATTAGTTTTTTTAATAAAGAATGTGCCTTTATTAGTTTTTTATAAAGAATGTGCCTTTATTAGTTATTCGTAAGTTTGCAAACAAATACTATAAACAAAGTTAAGGTCAGAAACACACTGAAAGCAGATGAAAGTGTCAGAACACAGAACTACTAACGTACATAAAAATTGAAGAGGCCATCAGAAAGCTAGAGTTAAGAGCTCCTGGTTTCAACTAAGTCGACAGCGATGAGTAAAATTAAAGCAAATTATAAACTCACTCCATCCCAAATTAGATGACCTGGTTCAGTTAGAGGCCAAATTAAGCAAGCTTCAATTTCATTCCAGAAATTGATACATTCATTTTTAGAAGCAATATTTTAAAGAAAAACTATTAGGTCAACTTCTTCAGAGGAATACTTCCTCCATGAATTATATGTGATTAAACGACTGAGGTTTATTCCAAAATACACATCTGCNCCACCCCACCCCCCCCAAAAAAAAACAAGAGCCTGGCAACTCTACTGCCATAAGTATAACACCCTCCGTGCTATATTATATGATACTTTTTTCTATTTGAGAGTTTCCAAAATGTTTTGACGCCATTTCATGTTTGTATCACTTTCACTACTTTCTAAGAACTCAAATTCATTAAATATTCAAATGTTGAAACTTAATAGTATGATATTTTCTCTATCAAATAACCGGTACGTTAATTATCACTATCACTAATATAAAAAATATACTCCCTCCGTTTCAATTTATGTGAACTTATTTCCTTTTTAGTCCGTGCCAAAAAGAATGATATCTTTCTATATTTGAAAATAATTTACCTTTATGCAATGATTTATAGCCACACAAAATATATGTGCCTCATTTTACACCACAAGTTCAAAAGTCTTCTCTTTTTTTTTAAACTCCGTGCCCAATCAAATAGGTTCACATAAATTGAAACGAGTATGATATTTATAAGTAAAACTAACATCTTAAACTCCGTGTTTAATCAACATACATATTTAAAATGAAATGGAGAGAGTGTACTAAACAGAGGCAATCTTCAGTTATAGCCTGTAGGAAAATATAAAAGTCATAAACCCCCCACTCACATCCACTACTGACTCTCTGTTATGTAGTCTATAGCAAAGCTTCAAGTAACTTTACAGCCTAGAGTGGTCCCTCACTCAACCTTATGTTCTCGTAGTTATTCAAAACAGTCAAACACAAATTATCCATAGCATGAGGAAACCATTAGACCAAGGTCTACCGAAGTAGGTACTTTGATAAGTTATTACACTATATAATATGCTAAAGTTAGCAATACATTGACTAAAGCAATTAACTGATGAAACTTTCCAGAATTTAATTCTTATACTCGCACTGTTCCTATTCTAGCAAGTCCCAAAATGTCATACACCTCATATCCATGTAGCTTTTACATGTCAAAATATCTAACTTTGATTTCTCAATAAAACGATTTTTTTTAATAACGATTGTATTCGAGCCAGCTTGTGCGCCCTTGACTAATTCAACAAGGTACCTGCTACCTCTGCTTGCTTGAGCCGAGGGTCTCTTGGAAACAGTCTCTCTACCTGCATAAGGTATGGGTAAGGCAGTGTTTAAAAAAACGATCGCTTTGGCGCTTTAAGCAAGAATTTCTGCAGCTGAGGCGACTCTATCTTCAAAAGCGATCGTTTCAATGCGAGAAGCGAAAAAGCAATCGCTTCAGTCAAAAGAGGCCAATTTTAAAAATAAAAAATAAAAAGATTAGATCTTTTTTTTATTATACAAAACATAGACCCCAAAGTGAAGACATTTCTTCTCTTCTTACATCGAGTTGTTGCTGCTAGGGTTCCAGAACCAGAAGTCAACGCCTCCAGGTAATTTCTTCTCTTTTTTTTCTCTCTTCTTTCTTCTTCTTCCCGTCGAGGCGTCCGCTCACTACTAGGGATATATATATATATATATATATATATATATATATTATTTTCAGTTTATTTCATTATGTTTGTTTTTCTTATATCTTAATAGGGATTAAAAATGTCCCAAAGTTCGAAAGAGAAAGACCCTGCTTGGCGATATGGCGATAAAGTTAATGAGAAGAATGGTACAAATGTTATATGCAAGTCTTGTAACAAGATTACAATGGGCGGAATTTATCGCTTTAAGTTCCATCTTATTGGCGGCGATAGAAACGTCACAAGTTGTCCGAAATGCCCGCCGGAGGTGAGGGAGGAAATAAAGAATTTTGTTGAGAAGAAGAAGGAGCAAAAACAACAAATGGGTCATCAACCATTTGTGACCAATCTTGATGATGATGATGATATGGAAGAAGGTGAAGCTGCTGATTTGTCATTTCCAACAAAATGGGGAAGAAATGCAATCTCTTTCAAGCCATGGATCGACGGGTACGAGTAGGACTAAAGGTCTTATAGACTATTATTTCCCAAAGAAGCCAAAAGCAAAGAGCGGTGGAAAAAATTTGCAAAGTGACCACCTAGTCCTCTGAAGTATGGTTGAGTTTCAAAGAAGGTAACATCAGCAGACATAAAGCACAGTTGGAGGTCAGGTGAGTAGCATCGATACCCCTTTTGAGTTCTCGAGTAACCTAAAAATACACACTTAAGAGCACGGGAAGCTAACTTATATTTTCCTGTAGTAAGGCTATGAACAAAACATGTGCTCCCATAGACACGAGGTAGAAGAAAGAACAAAGGTGTGTGAGGAAACAACACAGAGAATGTAACTTGATTCTAGATAGCCGAGGATGGCATACGATTAATAAGATAACAAGATGTGAGAACTGCATCCCCCAAAAAATGCAACGGAACATGAGATTATATGAGTAGGGTACGAGCAGTGTCAATGAGATGCCTATTCTTCCTTTTCGCTACCCCATTTTGTTGAGATGTGTATGGACAAGATGTTTGATGAATGATCCCATGAGAGTTCATAACTGCTGAAATGGAGAATATAAATACTCTGGGTCATTATCACTACAAAATGTTCGGATAGAAACCCGAAATTGATTTTGGATTCAACGTGGAAGGTCTGAAAAATAGAAAACAACTCAGATCTATTTTTCATCAACAACATACCCAGTATTATCCCACACCGTGGGGTCTGGGAATATTGTAAACCATCAATGAAAACAAAGTAGCGGAATCCCAAGGTAGAACTGACCAGACTAGGATCCCAAACATCTGAATAGACTAAAGTGAAAGGTGACTGCTCGATTATCAAGACGCCGAGAAAAATGGGAGCGAGTATACTTACCGAGCTAGCATGACTCAAACTCTAGAGTGGACAAGTGAGACAAACCAGGTAGCATTTTCTGAAGTTTTGATAAACTGGGATGTCCCCACCGTTTAAATAATAAATCTGGTGAATTAGTAACAGAACAAGTTGTTGATGTGAATTCATGTAATTTAACAAGGATAAGGTAATAAAGTCCATTTGATTCACGCCCTTTACCAGTGATCCGCCCTGTACTGCGTTCCTGTATAAAAACAAGGTCATCAAGAAATAAAACAGAACATTTAAGTGATTTGGCTAAGCGACTAACGGCTATGAGATTAAAAGGACTACCGGGAACATAAAGAACTGAATTCAAAGGTAAAAGAAGGAAGTGGACTTGCTTGCCTATTCCAGTTGTCACGATTTGAGACTTATTGGCCATTGTGACCGTTGGAAGAGATTGAGAATATGAAATAGTAGTGAAAGCAAATTTATTACCAAAAATATGATCAGACGCTCCTGAATCAATAATCCAATTTCTGGGATAAGAAGATTGAGAGACACAAGTAACGCTATTACCTGTCTAAACCACAATAGCAATCTCAGAAGATGTCTGTTTACTTGAACGAACCCTATATATTTCGATAAAGAAACCATCTGGATTGGATTCAATGCATTGGATCCAACGGATTCTGAGTCAAATGCTTATGAGACGAATGACATTATAATGATTTAAGCCTTGAGGCAAATCTCTGTGACCAACTTAAGAATTTGCTGCAAAAGTGTTGCCGGAGAAATTTGAAAATAGTAAGACTAGTTGTAAAAGCTTCAGCCGTGTTCACACAACAAAATAGGTTCTAAAACACCCCAGAAAACAGAAACCTTTCTGGAAATTACAGTTCACGCCGAAAAATTACTATTCACGCCAGGAAAAGTAACTGTTCACACTGGAAAAATATAAAAATGGTCGACATTTAGTTTAAATTGGATGGATAGGCTCGGAATTGCAAGGGGAACAGACTGTCCTGAAGAGTAGTCGGCAAAAAATGGCCGGAAGCTGCCTCACGCGCCGGAACTTCGCCAGAAATCTGGCAGCGCGTGGGGGTTTTTCTGGCGGAATTTTTTTTATGGGTTGGTCGCCGGAGGCTGATCTACTTCGTGGTGGTGTTGGTTTTTGCACAATAGTGACGGATAGTGATCTTTCTTGCGGACAAACCTGTGTTTGCCGGAAAAAGGACTTCCGGTTGACTGATTTCTCTTCCCGGAGGCGCTGAATTTATAGACAGCGATAAAACTCTCACGATAGCTCTGATACCATGTGAGAATGCATCGGAGAAAAATTTATTATTTGATTAATTAATTATAATACAATGAGCCCTATTTATAGCTATACATAATACAGATCCCACTCTTGTTCAATGTGGGACTCGGACTAATTACATATTAACTATATAACTATCTAACAACCTGCTACTACCCACCATCACAAATACCGGGTAACTCTATCCGCCGAGTCTTGAATAGATGGGAAGAAGAAATCATTCAGTATCTTTGCTTCCGCTGCGATCTGAACCTGAAACCTCATGGTTCTCAACCCACTTCAATCAAACATAAATGAAGCTAGAGTTCAGTCTTGGTTCATGAATGGTTCCACCTTTTTGTAGCATGATAGACACTAGTACGTATGAGCACATAGGACCATTTCTTAGACTATTGAATTGCAACTTAGAGTTACTTTGTTTCTAAAGTATTATGTGCCTATTATAATACTCATAAGTTAAATTAAACCTTAACCTCTGTATTCAGTCAACATAGGTGATACTCCGCATTTCTATTTTAGTCCATTCCAAAAAGAATGACAGTTTTCTAAATCTGGAGCCAATTTAACTTAAACTTCTCATTTACTCTTAATGAGAAAATAGGGCAGCCCCGTGCACTGCGCGGGGTCCGAAAAAAGTCCAAACCACAAGGGTCTATTGCATGCATCTTTACCTTGTATTGCTGTAAGAGGTTGTTATCACGGCTCGAACCCGTGACCAGTTATGAGAATATGTTAAACCAACAAAAATGTTATGAAACATGTAAGACTACAAGTTTCAAAAGTTTTACAACCACACAAGTAATATGGTATGTTTAATACCACAAATTTTAAAAGTTTTATAATCCCACAAATGCAATGACATAGTTATGACCACAAGTTTCAAAAGAGTTTCGTTCTTTCTTAAACTTTGCCACATAAATTAGAAAAGGAAGTATGACCCACCTCACTGCCATGGCGTTTTCCAGGAAGCCATTGTACATCAGAATCTAAAACTCCGTCTAGTGAATTATTATTCACAATTTCATGAATCTCATCATCAACTTCCCCATTTCCAGAACCACCCCTACCACTACTACTAGCATTGCTACTTCCCCTCTCACCAGCATACCCACTGCTACTTGGACTTGAAGGTTCCTCCATTTCTTCCATCCCTGAATTGTTCCTCCCCACGATTTTGGACGAGCTGGATTTCTCCATCACATTGCCGTGTCTCAAATTTCCATTATCGCCATCAAAATTCTCGTTCAACGATCCCTTGGTGAGCTTCGACGGCGACGTTCCGTTGGTATCCGAATTGGTATCCGATTCGGGTTCAGGTTGGACGATTGATATTGAAGCTAATTGATTCTCGATTACGTCCAAAGACTGATCAATTGAGCTAGGCTTAGGGTTAGGGTTAGGATTTTGATCATCATCGGAGGAGTCAGAGTTAGGAGGCATCGGAGAAGACTGTGAAATGGAGATGAAAATAGTTATTACAGAGTTGTGATGATTCAGTGGAAAGAGTGAAATTAGGATGATAAACAAAAATGATTGAACTGCGATGGAGAATAAAAGAGAAATGGAAATCGAAATTTTGTGTCCATTGCTGCTCCTACCAGTCGCTGTTGTTCGACTGAAAGCACGAAAAACACGTTTAGACGATTCTCTCCCAGCTTCTGACCGGTTGGTGACTTCTCTTTGGACCGCGGTTGGACCGGTTTTAATTTGGGTTTCGGAATCGCACCCTTGTCTAAAATCTAAATCTTAAAAATAGGTCTGGATTATCTAGATTTATAACAAATATTTAATTTTATTAAGATTCTATTATCCACGTTTATTATTAACCGATATCACTATTATCATATACCACCAATTGTTGGGCTTTAAGCTTGGTGTAGCTTAAAAATGATGAATAAAAAATAGAGAAAAAATAAAATATTTGAATTTTCCTCCTGGGCATAGGGACATTGTCCCATATTGAAAGAAGAAAAAACTTTTGATGGGTATTTATATAATTGCTCTTCTTCTAGCTCTTAAAGAGTTAAGAAGAAGGCAAGCCTCGCGCCGTCGTCTCTCGGCTCGGCCTCGGCTTCGGATTTGGTCAAAAATTGATTGATTAATCTTTTTGGACAAAATTTTTCAATTAATTAATTAAATTAATTAACGAAAATTCAATCCGGAAGACCCGGTCCGGTCAGTTTTCTTTCCCGGATTATTTTAAACCCGTTTGTTGTTTCCCGCAATTTTTCCATCTGTTCCAACAGATATGGCTGTTCTGAAAAGTTGCAAACCTTTTCAGAATCAGTGCCAAATGGTCTATAAATATGCCTTGATTCACATAATTTTTACTTACTAAATTTTCTGATTATCTTCTTCTTCTTCTTCTGCACAATATTTTCCAGTGTGTTTTACGACCATTGAGTGGTTCCCCGTTCACCAGAGTTTTTGGTACCAATACGCTGGTGCGTTAAATCATTCTATCATGGGAGGATAATATTCCAACACCTCGGGTACTTAAGGGGAATAATTTCCTTAAGGACACATTGTGCATTCAGTGGGCTCGATTTATTCCTATACTGTTTTTCATAATTTATTTCGTTAAACTAGTGTTACTAACTTTCTGTTTTTGTTTATATATTTCAGAAAGTTTAATGCTTTAATTGTTTATTACAACAATACATGCTAATAACAATTTTAAGGAAATTATTTTATTATATTGTGTATTCTATTTGTGGAGATTAAAACCTGTGTGATTTTCTACTAGTGTTACTAACTTTCTGTTTATGGCATATTCGTTTAGGATATGTTAATTACAAAACCTTGTGAAAGTTAATTAATTTAGAAGTATTGCCTAAATTCGAGTGTAATAAATTAAAATGTCAAATATGTGTTGAATCTAAGTTTGTAAAACATCCTTATAAGTCTATTGAAAGGAATTTAAATCCTTTAGACTTAATTCATATTGACATTTGTGATATGAAGTCGACACCATCTCGAGGTGAAAAAAAATATTTTATTACTTTTATTGACGATTGCACTCGATATTATTATGTTTATTTGCTTAATAGTAAGGATGAAGCAATTGAAGCATTTAAGCAATACAAAAATGAAGTGGAGAATCAATTGAATAAAAAGATCAAAATGATTAGAAGTGATAGGGGTGGGGAATATGAATCTCCGTTTGCAGAAATATATTCATCAAACTACTGCACCTTACACACCTCAATCAAATAAAATTGCGGAAAGAAAAAATCGGACTTTAAAGGAAACGATGAATTCTTTATCAATAAGTTCCGGATTACCGCAGAGTTTGTGGGGGGAAGCTATCCTTACAGCTAACCGAATACTCAACAGAGTACCCCACAGCAAAACGCAATCTATTCCATATGAAAAATGGAAAGGAAGAAAACCCAACTTGAAATATTTCAAAGTGTGGGGGTGTCTAGAAAAGGTACAAGTTCCTTTACCTAAAAGGATTAAAATCGGACCAAAACTGTAGATTGCGTTTTCATTGGATATGCTACAAACAGTAAAGCATGTCGATTTTTGGTTCATAAATCTGATAATCCCGAAATTCATGTTAATACGGTAATGGAATCAGATAATGCTGAATTCTTTGAAAGCATCTATCTGTATAAAACTGAATGCGAGTCGTTAAGTGAAAGACCTAAACAACCTCGGGAAGAACCAAAGGAAAATACTCAAAGTATAGAAGATCCAAGGCGTGGCAAACGTCAAAGAATATCTACTTCCTTTGGACCAGATTTTGTAACATTCTTGCTTGAAAATGAGCCTCAAACTTTTAAAGCAGCTATGACATCTTCTTGTAACGACCCGACTTGTCGTTTTAAGAATTAACGCTCCGTCCAGTGGCTTAAGATCTCGAGCAGCTTCGTAATATGTATCATGATCCGTGGGGTGTGGTCGAGTTTAATTTTCGGAAGATTCGAAATTTAATTAAAAGAACAATTCTTATTTAAGAAACTTAAAAGAAAAGAGTTGACCGGGGAGTTAACTTTTGAGCAAACGACCCCGAAATGGAATTTTGATGATGTCAATAGCTTCGTATGATGATTTCGGACTTAGGCGTATGTTCGGATTCGGATTTGGAAGTCCGTAGGACAATTCGACGCTTTTTGGCGAAAGTTAGAAATTAAAGATTTTTGGAAAGTCCGACCGAAGGGTAAAATTTTGATAATGAGGTCGGATTTCGATTCCGGAAATGAGAATAGCTTCATTTCATTAATTTTGACTTGTGTGCAAAATTTGAAGTCATTCCGGATTGATTTGATACGTTTCGGCGCAAAATATAGAAGTTGGAGGATTTAAAAATTTATAATTTGATTCGATGCGCGATTCGTAATTTCGGCGTTGTTTGATGTGGTTTGAAGCCTCGACTAAGTTTGTAGTGTATTTTGGGACATGTTGGTATAATTGATTGAGGTCCCCGGGGCCTCAGGTGAATTTTGGAAGGTTAACAGAGCAATTCGAACTTGGAAGAAGCTGCTGGAAAATGGCAGTAGTTGTTGGAATCACACCTGCGGAATTTTGGGCGCAGCTGCGATGTTTTCTACGCAGATGCGACGAGTCAGCGCAGAAGCGAAATTTGCTGTGCACCTGCGATCATCGCAGAAGCGGAAATAGCTCCGCAGGTGCGAGCTTATGGTTGGGCAGTGATCATCGCATATGCGCATCTTGGCTTGCAAAAGCGAAGCTGCAGATGCGGAAAATTAGTCCGCAGGTGCGAAACTGGGCAGAATGTTAAGGACCAAAAATGGTCATTTCGTCATTTTTCGATTGAGATTTTGGAGCTCGGGTTTTGGGCGATTTTGGAGGAGTTCTTCAAGATTTTGACTTGGGTAAGTGTTCTATATCCTAAAGTGATTATATTTCATGAATCTATGATTATATTCATCGTTTAATTCGGATTTAAATGGAAGAAATCAAGATTTTTACAAAATCTTCCAAAAACAAAAATTTAAAATTTGGAAGTCGAGTTGTTATTGGAATTCGATAAAATTGGTATGGTTGAACTCGTATCGGAATGGGTATTCGGATTTCATGAAAATTATGTCAGGTTCCGAGGGGCAAGCCCCGCGTTGACTTTTGTTGGCTTTTTGGAATAAATTTTTAAGTCGACGTATTATTATCCGGAATTATTTTCGATGAATTTTAATGAACTTATACAATTAATTTGGATAGAATTGAGCTGTCCGGAGGTCAATTCAAGCAAGAAGGCTATTTTGGAATATCAACCTAACTTTAAAAAGGTAAGTGTCTTGCTTAACCTCGAGTGGGGGAATTACCCCTTAGGCATTGAGTCTTATGTGCCATTTGTAAAATGTGAAAAGCCGTGTACGCGAGGTGACGAGTACATACTCGGGCTTATATGTGCAAAATTCATTGAAATAAAGTCTTAGGCATTATTGTGTAGTAAATTAGAAAATTGTGAAAAATTATTAAATTATCTGTTTGCCATGCATAAATCCTTATTGTTGAATTTATTTTTATATGATAATTTGATGTGATTGTTACTTGAAATATTTATGAAAGTTCGTGAGCATTGTTGGTTTAATATTTCTTGGAAATTAATTCCAATATGAATTTTCTTATGCAAATAATTAATTTAAGCTAGCTTAAGAATAAGTGTTAATATAATTATCTAAATTTGCATTAATGAAGGTTTTGTTTTATGCTGAGTAATTTCTATCTCTATTGATTATTTTTGGGTGTTATATCCATTGTGTGGAGCCTTGGGCTATTTGTTGTGAAATTAATTGATTTTTATTATATCTTTGGAATTTGGTTGTGGCCATTGGGCAAATTGTGATATGAATTAATTTTATTATGTTGCCATGTTAATTTTTCGTGTAAATTATTGTGTTGTGTGAGTTATTATTTTGGGGAGATAAGGATGGCATGTCACCGTTGATATTATGTGGGTATAAGGGTGGCATTTCACTGTTGTTGTGTTTGTTGAAATATTATCTGGGCGGAGCGATAAGGGTGGCTATAGGAGCGATAAGGGTGGCAATAGGAGTGACAAAGGTGGCTATTAATATTGTCTGGGCGGAGCGATAAGGGTGACTATAGGAGTGATAAGGGTGGCAATAGGAGCGATAAGGGTGGCTATTGTCAGGGATGATATGTGATGATGTGGGGTTGTGGTGTTGATAATTTTTATGTGATGCTGTAATTTTTTGTGTTTACTTTTATATCTTGTGCAATTTGCCTTGTTGTTGGTAAAATGATAACAATCTGATTTATGTTGAAATTGAGAGTCTGTGGCTATTGCCAGGCGGATTATAAATTGAAATATGGGCACGAGATACCGTGAGTAAATAATGAGGATATTTGGCACGTGAATTGTCCGTGCAATTATGATATGAAATATGGGCACGAAGTGCTGTGATGAAATAATAATGATATTTGACACGTGAATTGTCCGTGTAGTTGTGAAATGAAATGAGGGCACGAGGTACCAGGGAAATATGATGATTTAATTATAGGCACGAGGTGCCATAAAAATATGAAAATGGGCTGAGACCCGTATTTACGAAAAATATGAAAATGGGCCGAGACCCGTATTTTTATGATTATAAAATGAGATGTCACATGGTGACTTTTTAATTGAAAGAATTATATTCAAAATATTTATTTGGAAGGATTTTTATTCAAAATGAATTATATAAAAGAATTGTATTTGAAAGATATCTATTCGAGAAAATTA